TTGAACTTGGGAGGCAGAGGTTGCAGTAAACCGAGGTCGCACCACTGCACTCTAGCCTAGGCAACAGAGCGAGACTGTGTCTCAAAAAAAAAAAAAAAAAAGATCCATTCAGGCCAGTCACAGTGGCTCATGCCTGTAATCCCCACACTTTGGGAAGCCATGGCGTGCAGATCACTTGAGGTCAGGAGTCAGAGACCAGACTGGCCAACATGGTGAAACCCCATCTCTACTAAAAATACAAAAATTAGCCAGGTGCAGTTGTGCATGTCTATAATCCCAGCTGCTCAGAAAGCTGACACACCGCGAATAGCTTGAACCCAGAGGTGGAGGTTGCAGTGAGCTGAGACCACGCCACTGCACTCCAGCCTGGGTGATGGAGAGAGACTGTTTCAAAAAAAAAAAAAAAAAAAAAAAAGACCGGGCGCGATGGCTCACACCTGTAATCCCAGCACTTTAGGAGGCCGAGGCGGGTGGATCACCTGAGGTCTGGAATTCGAGACCAGCCTGGTCAACATGGCGAAACCCTGTCTCTACTAAAAGTAAAAAATATTAGCTGGGTGTGGTGGTGGGCACCAGTAATCCCAGCTACTCAGGAGACTGAGGCGGGAGAATCTCTTGAACCTGGGAGGTGGAGGTTGCAGTGAGCCAAGATCACGCCATTGCACTTCAGCCTGGGCAACAATAGCGAAACTCCGTCTCAAAAAAAAAAAAAAAAATTATCCACAAATGTTCCAGTGACTATGACTGCAGGATCACTGTGTGCAGAAATCTCTAGAAATGTGTGTCTTGTAGCTCAAGTCATTAGAGACAACACGGGTTTTACGGATTCCTGTAGCCTCTCTGGCCTGTTTACTTCAAGGCCATTGCTACATAGACAATAAAAAAAGATGAAGTCAAGAGAGATTCAGTTGTCCTTGGTCCGGCTTCCACTCTTAATGCTGGTGGAAATGGCCTTCATTGCTCACCTGTATTTCCCGCCACTGCCTCTACGTGGCCTGGGAGCTAGACGGTAGAGTCAATAGAGACTAGAAAACCAGACTTTTTGAAGTGTCAACGACTGAGATTGTTAATTGCACCCATTAAAAAAAATTATCAAGTTATAACTGATGTGGAGTAAATTGTACATATTTAAAGTGTACAACTTAAGTTCTGACATAAGTGTAAACTCATGGAAGCATTGTTGTAATCATGAGAATGAGCATATCTCATCTGCATATTTTACTTTTGCTCTTTTATAATACATTCCAGAATATGCAGGCACCTTTTGACATTCCTTTACAATTGATTGACTTGAATTTTCTGGAATTTTATTGTAGACATTATAAAGCGTGTTTTTTTTTTTTTTTTTTTTTTTTTTGTGTGGTTTTATTTATAAAACTTCTCCTTGGGTAAGGGCCTGAGGTTAACTTTGGGGGTGACAGATATGTCCAACACCATTGATAGGGTGATGATTTCAAAAGGGTATATACGTGTGTGTGTGTGTGTGTGTGTGTGTATATCTCAAGACTTACTGTTACACTTTAAATATGTGTAGTATATTGCATGTTGATTACACCTCAATGAACCTATAAAAAGTTATTCCATTTAAAAATCTGGGCCTCCCACTTCTGTTGGAAACTGGACAACTTGACAGCCTGCAGTGTTTTGAAACAGCGTGGATTGGGTGTCTTGTTTCCAGCATATGTCCCATGTTCCCCAACACTGTTCCTCAGGAAACAGGGAGGAACAGCTATTCCTCAGGAAACAGGTGTTCCTCAGCACCTGCTGAGTGGCCATATTCCCTGAATGTCAGAAAAGTAACACGGTGACTGTTTTGGACAAAATTCTGAGCTTAAAACCTTGCCTGAATCAGTAGCCGCCAAATTCATTGTGCACATCTTATAATTTCCAAGAACATACATATTAAGTGAATATTTTTATAATTGTGAAATGGTCTGTTCAGGGCCCTCATTCCTCAACCTTTTTTTCCAACCACCCTCTCATTAAGGAGGCATATGTATTAATCATGGTTTTTGTTTTTTGTATTATATGTCTTGACATCTTAAAATTCTTGCTGGTTACAGAGAGACTTACCCTACCAGAGGTAGCTAATTTCTAAAAATAGTAACAACTATCTTGGGAGCAAGGCAAGCCAACCACCCTCTTTATCTAACTCTTACTCACCAAACCAATACTTTCCCTGCACTAAATCATCCCAGCATTACTGCCAGTGAGTTTGCAGCAGTCTGCAGCAATTTTGGTCCTTGCCTTCTCAGAAGAAAAGTCAACTGAGGAGGCAGAGGTTGGTTTAAGGCAGAGGAAGAGACCAAGGCAAGTTTTTTTTAGCAGGAGTGAGAATTTATTAAAATGTTTTAGAGTAGGAGTGAAAGGAATCAAAGTACACTTGAAAGAGGGCCAAGTGGATTACTTGAGAGGTCAAGGGCCCCACTTGATCCTTGGCTTGGGACTTTATACATTTGCTCATTTCCCAGGCTCCCTGTTCTCCTCCCTTGGGTAGGCTGTTGCTTGACTACTGCATGCACAGTGGTCTGCCAGCACTTGGGAGGGGCCGCATGCAGTAAACATGACTGTTTACTGAAGTCATACATATACTCATTTGGGGTGATTTTCCCTTACGAGTCAAGCACCCCCAGAGGAAGGTCAAATACCAGTCAAATTTTGCCATCTTGCCCCATTTTGTGCAGGCTTGAAACCTTATCAGAGATTGCGGTTCACTGGCTCCGGGTGTCTTCTATCTGTTGGAAAACTCTTTTCCTTCCTGGTACCAATCATGGCCGCTTACCATCTCAGAGGGATAGTTTTATGCTCTCCTGTCCTTCACCCAATGAGAGCTGGACATCTCAGGGGTCCCTCTCTTGTTCCGTTTATTATCTCAGAGGAAAAGATTTATGGATTGCCCATCCTTAATGCCAAAATTGCCTGAAATTCCTGGGGTCCCTCTCTCCTGCCCTACTCATATCTACCTACTCTAACACCAGGGTCAGGGTATGAGGCCACTATAGAGACCACCCCTGTAAATCAAAGCCAACCAGAATTATTCAGACTAGCCAGTACTTAGCTGTTTGCTCTGATCTGCCTTCCCTTTCCCATGGAAAACACAATAAAGGATCTGGCCTAGGTGCTCCCCTAGCTCTTGCTTCTTCCTTTAGACTAAAACCTGTTCCTCCTGTGGCCCTGCATGGCGTACTGTACTTCTCATTTCTAGGGGAATTCTGAGTAACATTAAACTTTTATTTCAGTGGCATTGAGCTCTCCATGTCCTTTTCCAATAAAGACCCATCCACAGATTGGCCTCTCTTGGCTATGTAATATTACATATCATTCCAGCACTTCTCAGTGCTTTCACCTCTTTTCTCCATTATGCCTGCCACATTATAACACTCCATATAATTTAGCATTTTTTTCATATTTCCTCCTCTGTCTTTCTTGAGTATAGTGTAAGCTACTGGGGTCTGTCTCTTGTTGTGTAAATGTCCCATGCAGTTAAGATAGTGTCTGAAATACAGTAGGTGTTCCTTGAACATTTGTTAGAACTATGAATAAGCATAATACTACAACATCCCTGTTCACATTAACATTCTGATAGCACTTTCTAAATGTTTTCTTTACTTCTCCCTCCAGGTATTACTGAGTGTTTTCAAGAATGAAAAGAGGCCTGGCATGGTGGCTCACATCTGTAATCCCAACTTTTTGGGAGGTTGAGGTGGGAGGATCCCTTGAGCCTAAGAGTTTGAGGCTGCAGCAAGCCATGATCATGCCACTACACTCCAGCCTGTGCAACACAGCGAGATCCTGTCTCCAAAATTAAATAAATAAAAAATATTACATTTTGGAGACTAAACCCTGCTTGTGGTCATAGTTGTAGCACAGCTGTGTGCTCAGCTTCATTTGCTCACTTCTCGGAATTCAATGTCTCCTGCTCAAATTTTGCTGTCATCTTAACCGTTTTCACCTATGACAGATATGTGTCTCCAGGTCCATTTCTTCATGTATCTGTGAATAACTACAGAATTATTAACTTTGAGTAATTTGGCCAGGCGCGGTGGCTAATGCCTGTAATCCCACCACTTTGGGAGGCCGAGGCGGGTGGATCATGAGGTCAGGAGATCGAGACCATCCTGGCTAACATGGTGAAACCCCCGTCTTTACTAAAAATACAAAAAAGCCAGGCGTGGTGGCAGGCGCCTGTAGTCCCAGCTACTCAGGAAGCTGAGGCAGGAGAATGGCGTGAACCTGGGAGGCGAAGCTTGCAGTGAGCCGAGATCGTGCCCTGCACTCCATCCTGGGCGACACAGCGAGACTCTGTCTCAAAGAAAAAACAAAAAAACTTTGAATAAACAATTCGCAAATGTTTTTGTCTTTCTTTCCCCATACATTCCCCCTTCTTTCATTTTTTTAAACCATAAGTAATTCTCCATTCAGACACTGTCCGCGTAATTGCAGGTGAAATGAGAATCACCTCCCAGCCAAGAAATGTGATCCCAATTTTCCAAATCTTTGTTTCTGGTTTCAGACAACACCTTTGCAGCCCCTGTCTTGGCACATAAAAACATTTATAATGCTTCTTCTTTTCAGATAAGAAACAGTCCCAAAAGGAAATAGATATATCTCAATTTTTGGGCTAGGAACTCTCATTTGGATAAAAGAGTTTTGCTCCCTTGGTTGGACATTAGTGACCATACAGGCAGGAAAGGTGTCTTCCTTGACCACCTTCTTTTGCCTGTCTTCCTCCTCATGGTTCTCTCAGGTATTTCTTTTCTGAGGAAACCAGAGGAAGAGCTCTATATTAGTCCACTTGCCTCGGGGAGCTCCAGCATCCCTCCATAGCCACTGTCTGGAGACCATTCTTCCACTCCATGGCCCTGCCTGGGGACAATTCTCTGTTAACCCTGACCCAACCGAGGCTCACAAAACTGACTCAAAGCTTCCCTCTACAGTACACATATTTTTTTAAATGAAGGAAATTTGAGTGGACTCAGAGTGACACTGGATGTCGTGTGTCCATTTGGTGGTGTGACTTTCGGGAACATATGTAAGACTATATCCCAATATTTCGGGGATCCCTGAAGACTTCATTACACAAGACCTGGTTGAGGGTCCTTTAAGAGGAGCGAAGCCACACTCTGCCCTCCGAGTCTCAAGGCATAATTTCTTAGCGCCCCTCGCAGTACCATTTGGTCTTTGCCCAGCGTGCAGGGGAGTCGCCACGGCCACGTGCACATGAGAACTACATTGCCCAGAAACCTCTGCGCCGCGCGTCAGCGGCACTCAGGGGCGTTTCCCTGCGGACGGAAGCTCTCTGGGCGTGACTTCCGGCATCTTCCCCGCGGCGGACATCTTGTTAGCTCTTAGGTGGAACCATCGGAGCAAAAGCTCGGGGTTGCTGGGCAGTTCCGAGGTGACGAAGTGGGAGGGTGCGGGAGGAGTCGTTGTTCGTCCTGCAGAGTGGATCGCCAGCGAAGACCCCGCCTCCACCCCCGGGGGCGAAGGACCGCGGTGCCAGGGTCCCGCGACCTGGGACCCCCCTCGCGGCTCTGTGAGGTCTATGAACTATGATGGCGGCGGCCGCGGTGTTGAGTCCGGCGCAGGTGGGTGCTGCGTTTCCGAGACTTTCGCCCGCCCGGAATCCTGAAGTTCCGAATGAGGAGCGCCTGTCTGAGTCCTTGCTGCGCAGGCCCCAGTGTCCAGGGCAGCGGGGCGCTGGTGGGTGGGACCTCGTTCCTAAATCTGGCATGTAAGGTGGGGGCGAGTGTGACGGGCAGAGGCGCAGCCTGAGCACAGGCTTGGAGCTGGACTGAGCCCGTAGCAGTCGGGAGCGTGTGTGAGCGGTAGTCACACCTGCAGTGTCGCGGGGAGAAGTTGCATCTTCATTGCGAGGACTATAGGAGCCATGGCGGGTTTTGAAGGGTGGAGGGAAGGGATTTGATAAAGGATTTTTAAAGTATTCCAATGTTTGCTGAGGAGGAAACAGACTAAAGTGAGGTAGAAACGGTGAAGATGGAGGCAGAGCAGGGAGACCTTTGAGGAGGCCCCTGCAGCAATCTCCAGAAGTATTGCCGTGGTGGCTGGGCCAGAGCAGTGGCAGGAGGGATTTGGGTGAGGAAGTCGTGAGATTCTGGATAGATTTTTAAAGATGGAACCAACGGGGTTTCCTGCTGCATCAGATGTGGTCATGAGTGAATGTAGGGAGGTGAGGGCTATCCAGAGTTTTTTTTGTCTGTTTTCCTTCCTGAACATGTGAAAGAATGGAAATTGGTAAGTCACAGCAGGGAGCACCTTTCAGGGGGATCAGGAATTGGGTTTTGGACTTGGTAAATCTAAGGTGTTCTGCGTTGGAGGTTCACATGGGTAGCTGAACATGCAGGTCTGGAGTTCTGGAGAGGGAGTTGTGCTAGAGACCTTCAATGCGTGAGGCATAAGGGTAAAGCCTGTAGTGGATCAGGTTTAGAGGGTGGAATATTAAAGATATTATCTTATGTGGCCTCTGAAGTGAGAGGTAGGGTTAGGGTGGAAGGCCAGGGATGAAGGGGTGGACACTTAAGATTCCTTCCAGAAAGGAGGGGTCCTGGCATGTGAAAAGATTCTAGATGGTGGTGTTGGAAGTAAATGCTCGGTGCTGCAAAGTGAAACCAGCACTCAGGCAAAAGTTTTCTCAGCAAGGCATTTTACTTCTGCGCAAGTGTGCTGCCTGCGTTAATCACGATCACAAGAGCACACTGAACAAAGGAGGGAAGGGGGTTTTATCTCTAACCCGTAGTCCCTACCTTCCTCTGTGTCACTCCCCCTTGGGCTGGGGTCGAACTGCACAATCTAAGCTGACCCAATTGGGTATATTTTCCCAAATAAGGAAGAGGGAAGGGGAAGGTGAGTTACAGTGGTGGGACATGTGGGTTGTGTGGGACGTGTGGTTTTGGTGGGGGGAATGGGTGCAAAGTGAATAAAGGAACCGATGTGAATTAATGATTAGTGCTGACGGGAAGGTTGTTTACAGTAACTAGGGGCAAGGAGGCATGGAGAACAAGAAAATTAGGTTGGAGAACAAGAAAATTAGGTTTGAGAACAAAGAACAAGAAAGTTAACGGTAAACCTTTGAAGAGCAATTTTATTATATCTTATAGTGTCAGCAAGAGGAGAGGGCTGTAGAGCATATGTAGCGTGGCCTGCACTGGAGACCAAGGTGAGGGATGCAGTAGATTTGCCATGAAGGCTCAGCGTGCCTTCATGGGCGCTGCCTGTGGAGCAGTTCCATCCCCAACCAGTGCACTGGTGCCTCAGTTATCCAAACTCTCAGGTAAGCAGAATTGATGAACATCTCTAATGAAGGAGCACTGCAGCTCCCCTTCAGAGGAATATGTATCAGGTAGGCTGGTTTAGTGCAAGGACTAGTGTACACCTTGCAAGTACACAGAAGTAGGGAACTAAAAAATGCATATACAAAGTAAGGTAAATTTATACTAGCACTTAATGATTGGTCAAAATATTAATTTGCCTTGAAGTATGTTATTACAATGGAAAATCTTACCAAATTTTCTTAAAAACTTTTAAAGCAGGCAAAACAACCTAATTTTTTAAAAACTCATCAGTTCATTTGCATGGATAGTAGTAGCTGTTTTAAAGGCACTTGAGATGTACAGACAATCCTGATACAAACAATAGCCCTATGAGGTAGGTGCCGTTTTTATCCCCACTTTTAAGGTGAGGACACTCAGACACTGGTCTTTGTTTATATTCACACAGCTGGTAGGAGCCAGCACTGAGATCTGAGTATCTGAAGTTAGAGAGGTGACCCAAAATCATTCCTGCCAAAGGGCAGGGTAGACAGAGCTTAGGGAAACAGTTCAGTCCATGAGATCCCACTGTGAGAACCTGCCACTCCCAGCTTCCCTCTTCTTGTGAGGTTGCCATGGTGTCAGAAACTTGTGATTCCTACCTAGATGAGTGCAGATTGTCTCATGCCCTCACTTAGCCTGACACACCCCCATTATCTCAGCAACTCAGTATGAAGAATGATAGTGTTCTGGGACTCTTCAGTGTCCCTTCTGCCTACTGTTTGAGGAGGTCCTGCAGTCACCCAAAGCTCTGTGTTGTAAATTCTGTTTTGGAGTTATGTGGAGTTTCCATTTCTGGCAAGCAGTGGGATGAAGTGTGGAACATTATCTCAGGCACAGGAACCAGCATGTGCATATACTTCGCTTGAGGCTAAACTAGAAGTGTTTGGGGAACCTCAGGTCTCCATTATGTCTAGTGGGATCAGACAGCAGGGACAGGGTTCGGCCCAGAAATGGCAGCCTGAGGATCTGGGTTTCTTTGCTGAGAGAATTGGGAGCCACTGCAGGTTTGGAGCTAGGAGGGAGTGATCTGACTTTGGTCTTAACCAACTTTCTCTGACTGTACAGTGAAGAAAAGACTGTGGGAGTGAGGATGAAGGAAGGAATACCACTGAGGAGCTTAATGCAACAGTTCAGATTGGACCACAGTGGTGGCTGTAGAGGTTGGAGATGTGGATGGATTTGGAATCATTTTTCTTAAAGTGGGACCAACCAGATTTTCTGATGTGGAGGATGAGAAAGCAAAGGGGAGGGGTGAAGGATGACCCTGGATGTTTTCGTCTGAGAAGATATAAATATGCCATCAACTGAGGTGACAAAGTTGGTGGTAGGAGTACCTTTCAGAGGTAATATCAGTAGTGCAGTTTGGCTATGTGGAATCTACCGTGTTCCAAAGACACTTGCGTGGAGGTGTCAAGTAGACAGCTGGACACAGAGATCTGAAGTTCAGAGAAGGGATTCAGGTTGGAGCTATCCACAGGGTGGCTGCCCAGCATGTGGATCAGGATTGAGGCTTGCTACCAATTTAGAGAGAGAATCTTTAGGTCATGGTGACAGTGCCATCAGCACACTGTAAGGACAGGCACAGCAGGGTGGAGGTAGGGGCCATCTTAGAGGATAGAAGAGGGAAGGAAGTGTCCTTGGGAGGAAGGAGAATAATAGGGTCCCAGGCCAGGTGGCAAAGTGTTCCAGAGAGAGAGTGGGTGTGAGGTGAACCACTGTAGTAATAGAAGGGAGGTGACAGTGAGGCCAAAGCCGTGCTTATTCAGCTCTTTATGTGCTCCTCAGGCTTCCATGGTGACCTTTGATGGGACCTGTGGAGTTTCAGTCAAGCTAGTGAATTAGCCCAGAGACAGATTGGGACAGTAGGCAGAATCAGTGTGCTTGGGGTAGGTGCCCAGTGAGTGTGGGTTTTGAATGAGTTAAGTGTTGAGAAGAAGCCTGTGACTGACCTCAGTAGTACAACAGCAAAGCAGAAAAGGGCTGAGTTTATCTGAGATCTGCACATGGTTCTGGATTGCTAATTGACCCGTGAAATAGAGCCAGGAGGGGGGGAATTTAATAACTGGATTCAGGGCAACCCATGGCAGTGTGTCCATTGATCAGGACCAGATGTTATCCTGGATGCTTTATCCAAGCATTCTCTGGATGCTGTGTGCAGATTTGCATGTAGGGAAGCCGTGGAGGTACCTGTGTTGTGGGTGTCATAGATGTAAAGGAGGTATGGCCAAAAGGGTGATGTGCACATGGAGATGGAGTGTAAATTCATGAGCCCAGAGCTTTGGTACCGAGGGTTTCTGAGACAATGCTGAGCTCAGTCACACCAAGGCCTGTTATCTCATTTGAGTTAGATGTGACAAGGAGTCCCAGAGAGAGAGGCTGCTCTTAAGCTCAGTTGTCCATCTCACACAGGGCTGTGTGACCTTCAAAGATTTATTTGTGTACTTAGGAGGAATGGGAGCTGCTGGATGAGGCTCAGAGACTCTTCTATTATGAAATAATGGCTTCTGTGCTTTGCATTTATAGTCTCCCTGGGTGAGGCCCCAGTATCCCATTTTTCTGGACTGGGCCCTACTCTTCCTTTTTCCCCTAGGGATTGCTCTTTCCTTTCCATAGCTAGAGCATGGGCACTGCTGTCTTCTGATTCCCTCACCTAGGTCCCCTGGGTGCCAAGGCTCAGCTAGATGCATTGCCTCCTCTCTTCCCTGTGTTCCTTAACTCCTGCTGCCCTGAAGCCTTGCCAGGAAGGGTTTGGGGGTCAGGAGTCCTAAGGTGACCGACCCAGTGAATCCTGCTTGGCCTCTCCCTGGCCAGGTGACTGTCCACAATCGTGACACCTCTGGACTCCGGGCTCTACCCGCTTCCTCTAATTGTAATTTCCTTGAGTCTGCCTGTGTCAAATCATGGTCACCACTTGTGGAGCCATTGCACTGTTCCTGCAGGACAATTTTCTGAGGTTCATTTTGTAGTATTTGTTTTCTTGCAGTTTTGCATGGGTGGGCTACTGTGGGCTAGTGCTTTCACACTCAGTCTGTTTCATCTTTCCCCTATGCTTTGTATCTTCCAGATCCTTTGTGGTTGCTGAATTGTAACGAGAGAGAACCCTGGGTGCCTGAGAGGGCATGACTCTAGTCACAACAGGAGGGGCTTGGACAGGCCCTGGTGAGTGGGAGCTGAGGGATGCCATAACCTCAGGGCTGGGTTCCTGTAGTTCCAGAAACCTATGTTGTGCCCATTACAAGTGTCAAGGCTAGAGGCCCTAACTTAGTTCTACCTTTTTATCCCCATTCTGTACACTCTTGTCATTTCTAATCTGACTTCTGACTTAGGGCTGTCTTCTCCCATTCTCTACCAGAGGGGCTCTTAGTAGAGCAATAACTCTCTCTCTGCAGTGCTTTCCAATATTGGACTACACTTACACTGATGTATCATAAGATGTGTGCATATCCTTAAATAGTCCCTGAACACGTTACTTGTTTTTAATCACATTTTCCTGGGCCTGGACACACATTTCGGCATAGCACTCACCTGTCACCCACAGTCAGCCAAGGTCCTGCTAAAAGTCATTGCAGAGGATGAAGTTGGAGACCTTGTACTGCACCCCATCCTCGTATCTTTGTTTCTTGTGAGGCCATCTCCATTCTGTGACTTTTAGATTCCAGTACTGTACAGCAGCCTTTTCTTCAACCTGATCCTAGCTCTGTTCCACCAGGAAACTTAGGTACTCAGTCCTGGGTACAACAGACACACATTTGTGATGGAGTTGCCCCACCCACCAAAGTCAGTATGTACATCAATAGTATTTTTCTGCCTTCAGGTTGTTGGCATGGAGTGAAGGATGAAGAGTCATCTTCTGAACAGAGCATTTCTATAGCAGTGTCACATGTTAATACTTCCAAGGCAGGTTTGCCCACACAGACAGCTTACCCTTGTGACATATGTGGCCCCATCTTGAAAGATATTTTGCACCTGGATGAACACCAGGGTACACACCATGGGCTGAAACTTCACACATGTGGGGCATGTGGGAGACAATTCTGGTTCAGGGCAAACCTTCATCAACACCAGAAGTGTTACAGTATAGAGAAACCCTTAAGAAGGGATGAAGGTGAGGCCTCAATTGTGAAGAACTGCACAGTTAGCAAAGAACCTCACCCATCAGAGAAACCCTTTACGTGTAAGGAGGAGCAGAAAAACTTCCAGGCTACTTTGGGTGGCTGCCAACAAAAGGCCATCCGCAGTAAGAGGAAGACACACAGGAGCACTGAGAGTGGGGATGCATTTCATGGTGAACAAATGCATTACAAGTGCAGTGAATGTGGGAAAGCTTTCAGCCGCAAAGACACACTTGTCCAGCACCAGAGAATTCATAGTGGAGAGAAGCCTTACGAGTGCAGTGAATGTGGGAAAGCCTTCAGCCGCAAAGCTACACTTGTCCAGCATCAGAGAATTCATACTGGAGAAAGGCCTTATGAATGCAGCGAATGTGGAAAAACCTTCAGTCGAAAAGACAACCTTACTCAGCACAAGAGAATCCACACTGGAGAAATGCCTTATAAGTGCAATGAATGTGGGAAATATTTTAGCCATCACTCCAATCTAATTGTACACCAGAGAGTTCACAATGGAGCAAGGCCTTATAAGTGCAGTGATTGTGGGAAAGTATTCAGACACAAATCTACACTTGTTCAGCATGAGAGTATTCACACTGGAGAAAATCCTTATGATTGCAGTGATTGTGGGAAATCCTTTGGCCACAAATACACCCTCATTAAACATCAGAGAATTCACACTGAGTCAAAGCCTTTTGAGTGCATTGAATGTGGGAAATTCTTTAGTCGAAGTTCTGACTTTATTGCACACCAGAGGGTTCACACTGGTGAAAGGCCTTTTGTGTGCAGTAAATGTGGGAAAGACTTTATCAGAACCTCCCACCTTGTTCGACACCAAAGAGTTCACACTGGAGAAAGGCCATATGAGTGCAGTGAATGTGGGAAGGCCTACAGCTTAAGCTCCCACCTCAATCGGCACCAGAAAGTTCACACTGCAGGCAGGCTTTAGGAGTGCTTTGAATACAACAGGACTCATCAATCAGATGTTGAATTTCATATATCTGAACATTGACACAAAGGAGATTCCTTATGGTGCCAGGTATGTAGGAAGCTTCGAGGGATATGTTGCACTTTCTGACCTGCTCAGGTTTTTTGCCAGAGTTTTGTCGCTGTCAATGCCTGTGGCCGAAACCATCTTAACTACCAGCTTAGATACCCCAGCATTGGGGAACGCAGGGTTTTGTATTCTCCAGTCCCTGGAGAAAATCATGAGATGCCTGAGTTCATTGGGGGTCCTCATTCCGTTCTGTATGACAGGTATAGGTATGGACATGATCCATCTTTAGCCACGAGGGTCTGAGCTGTATCTGCTGGTGGCTTATACAGAAGGTTTACTTTCTTCATGGATATTCTTGGTCTCACATACTTGTATTGAGTTTTTCCAGCCTCCAAGTCACCTGGCCTGGGAAAGTACTTGCTTCATGTTGCTCTGGTTTGTGATAATAAAGGCTTTACAGTTTAAGCCACTTTTAATCTTGGGGGTTCTTACTGTCTGGAGTGGATTGAAAACAGACTCTGCCAAACTGAAGACAGCCTTTGTGGGGCACCTCCAACTTTGCCTCAAATGGGACAGTGGGTTGAGGGAGAACAGTTCTTAGTTCAGTTTTGATGTTAACTTCCATAGCTGACAAAGCTTGTTAAGTAAGAATTCAGATCTTGTGTAGACCTGATTTGTCTGGATTATTTGAGAACCCATATTTCACCTTGAGGAGGGTGCCGCTGCTGTGACAGCCTGCAGTGTTTTGAAACAGCATGGATTGAGTGTCTTGTTTCCAGCATATGTCCCTTGTTCCCCAACACTGTTGAGGGAAAGCTGTTCCTCAGGACCTGCCGAGTGGCCATATTCCCTGAAGGCCTGAATCTGGTACACAGGCCACTGTTGGTAAGATCTAAAACATCCAGTAGGGAAACAAAATTGATATATATTGGGTGTGGATAATTGGGATTGGGGAGATTGCGGCGAACTAGAGGGGAAGTACACATTGTAAAAACACATCCACAGACAGTCCAGGCACTGAGGCTGGATGGGATCAGGTATCCAGAAATCTCAGGATCTCCAGGGCCGTGTTACTGTTAGGTCAAGATCACTGGTGCAGCAACGAATGTAGTTTTCCTAGATTCCTCTGCCTCCCTGGGCTCTTTACCTAATGTCTTTGCTGCACAGGCAATAACCCTGGGAGTAAAGAGGTGTGGTGGTCCAAAGAAGTAGCTTTTGTGACCAGCTGGGGTTTCTGGTGATTCTGTTGGCAATGGTCCTCATTGTTTGCCAGTTTTTCTTACTACTGAGGAAGAGATTGTCTTCCCAAGGTATTTGGAGTGATAAGAGTCACCGTAGTGACGTAGAGTCACTCTTAATGATGTCCAGTTGTCCAATTTCCAATAGAAGTGGGACACCCAGATTTTTTAAAGGGATAACTTTTTATAGGTTCACTGAGGTGTAATCAACATGCAATATATTGCACATATTTAAAGTGTACCAGTAAGTCTTGATACACACACACACTTGAAACTATCACCCTATCAGTGGTGTCGGACAGATCTGTCACCCCAAAGTTAACCTCAGGCCCTTAACCTTTATCTTAGTGCTCTCCTTCCCCCAAAATCCCTAGGCAACCATTGAGTAGTTTTCACTATAGGTAAATTTGTCTTTTCTAGAATTTTATGTAAGTCTGTCTATAAAGTGTTAATTTTGTTTGTTGTCTTCATGCAACAGAATTTGAAATTTGTCCATGGTATGTATGAATAGCCCATTTTAAAATTACTGAGTCATATTCTGTATGGATATACCACAGTTTATCCATTTATCTTGATTGGTGTCTGCACTCCACACCCCATTTTTAAATACTAAAAAGCTGCTGCAAATATTGATGCAAGAGTCTTTATATGGACACTTAGCTGAGAACCTTTTTTTTTTTTTTTTGAGACGGAGTCTCGCTTTGTCACCCAGGCTGGAGTACAGTGGCCGAATCTCAGCTCACTGCAAGCTCCACCTCCCGGGTTTACGCCATTCTCCTGCCTCAGCCTCCTGAGTAGCTGGGACTATAGGTGCCTGCCACCTCGCCCGGCTATTTTTTTGTATTTTTTAGTAGAGACGGGGTTTCATCGTGTTAGCCAGGATGGTCTCGATCTCCTGACCTTGTGATCCTCCCGTCTCGGCCTCCCAAAGTGCTGGGATTACAGGCTTGAGCCACCGCGCCCGGCCAGCTGAGAACATTTTTAAGCAGAGGTTTTGAAGGTGTGGCCATGTTTCTTACTGATTATAGTAAAATATATTTGAAAAGAGATACATACAGGGAAGAATTGCGAAACAGAAAAGACCCAAGATTTGATGATTTGGGAAATTCTCAGCTCATCTGAATTGGAAAAAAAAAAAAAATTGAAATTAAGAGATTCATTGTCAGGAAAGCATGTTTTAGAGAGATAGGCAAGGATGTTTGCTATTACCGAGATCAAAACATACATTAGAACACTCATTTCTTTGAAGAGATTAAACATGACTTGTAGATCCCCTCAATACAAACAATTTATAAGAAGTTTAAACTATCAGTCATCTCAGCAAAAGCCAAAAATATAGATAGGGGATTCCCTAGGGGGAATAATCTGCATAAACCTCTTTTCTAATGGTGTGAGTTTCAGTGACATACAGGAGACTCACAAAATTCTTGAAAATTTTATACAAGTGAAAATGCTCACCTTGGGTCTAAAGGAACCTTGAAAGTATGAAGTTAAAGGGTGTAATATTCTATACATGGGACTGGCTGCAGAAACAGGTGCAAGCCCTTTCTACCTTTCATGAGAAAGGAAGGATGACTCAGAGCAGAGGGGACTCCATTGGGCAGAGTCCTGAACCACGTGATATTCCCATGTCTTGACTCCCAGTGGCATTTGCCAAAGTAGATTTCAAATTTTCTTGGGATTAGTGGTTCCATTTGTTTGTTTTCCCCCCTTCCATTTCCTCCCTTTTTGAAACAATGCATATACATATAACTATTACCCTAGGTCTTTCCCACCCTTTTGTTTGGGAGCAGATAACTAGTTTTCTAGTTTTACGGATCCAGACGAGACAGGAATAGCACTGGGTGGTCACAGGAGGATGGAAAATCTCAACACCCTGGTTTTGGTGCGGCTGAAAAAAAAGAAAAAACCCAAACAACAGCTAAAACAGGAACTAGGCAAAGAAAGCATGGGATAATAGAAAACCCAAAACGAAAGAGAAAACTGCCAGAACCCCAGTCAGGGTGACATGTCCATGACTCTTCCAGTCAAATGCAAATAAGGGAGGAGGGGTGGTAATCGGGGGTCCCTGAAATTCCCTCCTTTCCCAGAATACCTAATGATTACCCCGATTAGAGGAACACCCATACAATTAGAAACCCAAACTTCATTTTGCATGACTTGCTCTCAGGAGCACTCCCACACTTCTCTCTTGTGTATACTTTTGCTTCACAATAAAAGCTCCTTGCCTTTGCTTCATTGTGACTCGTCACTGAATTCTTCGATGGTGTTAAGAACCTGGATGCTGGCTGGGTCTGGGGTCTCACCAACAATGTCCAGTGAGCCCCCCCAACAACACAAGAATTGTGCCCCAAGATGAGATTATACCTAGAGCCCCATCCGTACCGGACTTAGATAATTTAGATGAGATTGGAGACTTTAGCTCAGTGTGGAGGCGCACACCTGTAATCCCAGTTACTCAGGAAGCTAAGGCAGGAGAATCGCTTGAACCCAGGAGGCAGAGGTGGCAGTGAGCCAAGATTGCACTACTGCACTCTAGCTGGGCTATAGAGGGAGACTGTCTCAAAAAATAATAATAAAAGACATCAAATTTTGGAGGGGAAATACTTATTGGTGAACTGAAAACAACAGTTCTGGTATGTGGGATAACATATATCAATAGCCTTGATCATTTTGAATTTCATAATCATAAATGGGATTTTGTTTTGTTTTGTTTGGTTTTCAAGACAGAGTTTCACTCTTGTTGCCCAGGCTGGAGTGCCATGGCATGATCTGAGCTCACTGCAACCTCCGCCTCCCGGGTTCAAGCAATTCTTCTGTCTCAGCCTTCCGAGTCGCTGGGATTCCACAGACATGCGCCACCACGCCCAGCTAATTTTGTATTTTTAGTAGAGACGGTTTCTCCATGTTGGTCAGGCTGGTCTTGAACTTCTGACCTCAGGTGATCTGGCTGCCTCGACCTCCCCAAGTGCTGGAATTACAGGCGTGAACCACCATGCCCGGCCTTTTGGGATTGGTTTAAAGAGCTGTGGAAGACAATTGAGCAATTACCACAAACAGATTAGCGACGGAGTTCCTAGTATATTTGAAAATGAATAAAATTGTTCCTGAGAAAATTAACAATAGTGATCTCAGTCTAAATTATAGAGTAAGTGATTCAGAGAGGATAATATGCCACATATGCACAGATTTGTTTAAAACAGTAGTAAATTAGCACTGTAAAAATTGAAAAAAAAATAGTATTAGAACAACAATTAGGTTGATGAAGCACAATAAGAGACTAATGAAAAGGAAAGAAATGAAATTAATATCAAAATGTATAAAATAAATTTAAGCCATATACAAGCATGCCAAATTAACTTGTGAGATTAACAAAGATTGTATTAATTGGAGAAAAAGACTAGGAGTCTGCAGATCCTAAAATTACGCTTAACACTAAGCCTCTTACAAACTTCAAGTTTTCAAAAAGGCTCAAGGTTTTCTGGTACAGAGGTACTGTGGGAGCACAGTTCAGATTTAACTTAAGAACATTACATTATTTAGGCCAGGCGTGGTGGCTTAAGCCTGTAATCTCAGCACTTTGGGAGTCTGAGGCGGGTGGATCATGAGGTCAGGAGATCGAGACCACCCTGATTAACACAGTGAAACCCCGTCTCTACTAAAAACACAAAAAATTAGCCGGGCATGGTGGCGGGCGCCTGTAGTCCCAGCTACTCGGAGGCTGAGGCAGGACAATGGCTTGAACCCGGGAGGCAGAGCTTGCAGTGAGCCAAGATCCTGCCACTGCACTCCAGCCTGGGCGACAGAGCAAGACTCCGTCTCAAAAAAAAAAAAGAAAGAAAAGAAAAAGAAAATTACAGTCTTTAGGAAACTAGCTGTTTATCAGAGAGTGTATGTGACCAGAGTAAATTTTGCCAGAATAAGCCATCTTATGATGTCTAGATGACATACTAAATACTTAAACTGATTCAGAATTACCTGAGCTACTTCAACATAGGACATAGCAAAATACTGATAATTACATTGCTATATACTTATAAAAGATACTTTCAGCCAGCAGCAGTGGCTCACACCTATAATCCCAGCCCTTCAGAAGGCGGAGGCAGGCGGATCATCTGAGGACAGGAGTTCCAGACCAGCCTGGCCAACATGGCGAAACACTGTGTCTACTAAAAATACATTAGGCAGGCGAATCGCTTGAATCTGGGAGGCAGAGGTTGCAGTGAGCAGAGATTGTGCCATTACACTCCAGCCTGGGCGACGAGCAAAACTCCATCAAAAACAAAACAAAAAAACATGCTTTCAAATCTGCCTAACAATTATAGCCTGAGTCCTTATATTCAGGATTATCTATTTGTAACTTACAACTTTTTACAAATATTTTTCTTAAACTAAACTAGAAAGAATGTTTGGTCTTGCAGGTGTCTGAGAATCTTTAATAAAATACCCCTACAGATTCTATTTTGAAATCATGATTTTTTAAAAAGCAAAAATGTTTATTTCCAATTAATTGCTACAGAGATGCCAAATGTCCACTCAGTAGTTGTGAGTAAAACAATTTGTCTTATTGCTCTTCACTTCACAGGCAAATAAACTCTTTGAGTGATTGTGTGAAGTTCAGAGTATTTGGTCAGGGATGAAATGGAGGCTAATAGGAGAAAACATAGGTTATAAGAGAAAACATGGAATAGAGATTCTAGGGGCACTAAAGCAAATGCATGAGGTAGTCTATGCTTCTGGGTACCTCATAGTATGTTCCTTCTGAGTATTTGTATTCCAAACCTCTAAATTACAATTTTTTATATAACATTTCTTACTGGATTCTCCAAGATATAGTCTACTTTTTGAAGAATATGACATTATGTAGAAGTAGTGGTTACTTACCAAATGGTATTTGCTACTAGGAAAGTAGCATCAGTTTTTGGCATGGGCATCTGAACTCTGAGAATAAGGTTTGGGATTCCATGACCTCATCTCATTGCTGGAAAATGATGGTAATTTTATTCTTCCGCCTGTAATTGCAGTGACAGTGTCTCCAAGAGGATTGGAGACAATCTCTAAAAAACATTTTTTTGAAGTTAGAAAATTATAGAAAATTATTAACATTAATTACTGGAGTTATCCATTTAGAATGATATCATACCTAAAAGAGAAAATTATCTGTGAAATGAGAAAAAATAAAGGTCGATAGAGGAAACAGTTCTAAGACATGAAACATGTAAGTTGAACCCTTGGCTATGCTAGAATCTTGGCTCCCATGAAATTCTTTTTTTTTTTTTTTTTTGAGACAAAGTCTCGCTCTGTCGCCCAGGCTGGAGTGCAATGGCGCGATCTCGGCTCACTGCAACCTCCACCTCCCAGGTTCAAACAATTCTCCTGCCTCAGCCCCCCGAGTAGCTGGGATTACAGGCGCCCACCACCATGCCTGGCTAATTTTTGTATTTTTAGTGGAGACAAGAGTTTTGCCATGTTGGCCAGGCTGGTTTTGAACTCCTGACCTCAGGTGATCCACCCGCCTCGGCCTCCCAAAGTGCTGGGATTACAGGTGTGAACCACCACACCCGGCCTAAATTCTTATTTCTACAAAGTGTGACATTTTTTCATTCATATGAATGGTGACAAATAACAAACTTGTAAGGAAAGAGTAAAAAGAGAGTAAGAGTACAAAGGTGGAAGAGTTGAGGGAAAGCATTACTCAACATCTTCTCTGGTTCACAGGCTCTTCTAGATTTGTATTTACAGCAGTGAACAACCTACAAAGAAATGTATTCTCAAGTAGTCTTTATTCAAATTGAGAGATGTGGTCTGGAAATAAAGAAAATATTGGAAAACATACACTAAGTTATTAAGAGACAGATTCTATGGAAAATATCAGAATATCAGCACCAAGTAATAACAAAAGTGAAGTAGGTAGAATTTCTATAGGAAATAGGTCAGGGTTGTCCTTGTAGTGGAGATAATATTTGAGCATGTATTTAAGCAGAGCAGAGAGAGAGAGTGATTTGTAAACACAGGGAAAATGTGCTATGGAAAAGAAATAGCCAGTACAGTGTCCAAAAAGCAGGAGCTTGCCTGGAAGTGAAACAAATCATGTGATCAAAGCACAATTCAAGAGTGGCTGGTGATGGTTTTTATACCATAACAAATCTCCCCAGTGTGCACAATTACCCGTATATCCATTCACATGTCATTATCTCAGACTTCCTTGTCAGCTATCTTCTCAAACATATTCTTCCTTGCCGTTGATTACACTGCCAGGTCATTGACTGCTATCCTGTGAAATACTTGTTATTTGGACACTTATTCCTCCTCATAAAAGGGTTTACAAGGTATGCCACTTGTGGCTTCACCTGCAGGGAAAATTTTGATTCCCCAACTATCTTTCAAGAGGACGCAGAATATGACTCTGAGGCAGCCACAATTTTTTTTTCTTTTGAAATTTATCTTTTTTCCCACCCTGCCTTATGGTGCTGACACAATCTTTTTTTATTACTAAGTTTTTGTTTGTTTTTTGTTTTTTGTTTTTGTTTTTTTTTTGAGACGGAGTCTCGCTCTGTCGCCCGGGCTGGAGTGCAGTGGCCGGATCTCAGCTCACTGCAAGCTCTGCCTCCTGGGTTTACGCCATTCTCCTGCCTCAGCCTCCCTAGTAGCTGGGGCTACAGGCGCCCGCCACCTCACCCGGCTAAGTTTTTGTATTTTTTGGTAGAGACGGGATTTCACCGTGTTAGCCAGGATGGTCTCGATCTCCTGACCTCGTGATCCGCCCGTCTCGGCCTCCCAAAGTGCTGGGATTACAGGCTTGAGCCACCACGCCCGGCCTATTACTAAGTTTTTAAGAGCACTTTTAGGTTTGCAGTAAAATTAAGGGAAAGGTAAAGAGATATCCATATACTCCCTGCACACCTACATATGCATAGCCGTCCCCTCCTCCCCCTGCCAACCCCAACCAGAGTGGCACATTTGTAACAATTGTAAACCTACAATGACACATCATTATCACCCAAAGTCCCTACTTTACATTAGGGTTCACTCTTAGTGTTGTACATTCTGTGTTTGGACAAAGGTACAATGACACGTGTCCACTATTAGAGTGTCATATAAAATTGTTTCATCGCCCTGCTAATCCTCTGTGCTCCACAAATTCATCCCTCCTACCCTTCTAAACCCCCAGCAACCACTGATCTTTTTGCTCTTTCATACTTTTACCTTTTCTCAAATGTCATTAATTGGAATCATACAGCATATTGCCTTTTCAGATTGGCTTCTTTCATTTAGTGGTATGCATACAAGGTACCTCCATGTTTTTTCATGTCTTGATGATTCATTTACCTTCAGCATTGAGTAATGTTCCATTGTCTAGATATACTACAGTTTCTAATCCATTCACTTACTCAAGGACATTTTTGTTGCTTCCAGGTATGCCAATTTTGGATAAAACTGCTATAAACATACATGTACAGGTTTTTGTGTGGACATAAATTTTCCATTCATATGGATAAATTCTGAAAAATATGGTTGCCACATTGTATGGTAAAAGTGTGTTTAGTTTTGTAAGAAACCACCAAACTCCATTTCAAAGTGGCTGTACAACTTTGCATTCCATCAGCAATGAGAGCTCCTGTTGCTGTACATTTTCTCAACCATTTGCAGTTGTCAGAGGTGGTTCATTCTAATGGATGTGTAGTGGTATCTCACTGCTGTTTTAATTTTCACTTCCCTGATGACATATGACAGGGATTATCTTTTCATACACTTATTTGTCATCTGTGTATCTTCTCTGGTGAGGTATCTAAACCTAAAGTCTTTGCCCATTTCGGTTTTTAATCAAGATGTTTCTTTTTTTTTTTTCTTTTGAGACGGAGTCTTGCACTGTCACTAGCTGGAGTGCTGTGGCATGATCTCGGCTCACTGCAACCTCCACCTCCTGGGTTCAAGCGATTCTTCTGCCTCAGCCTTCCGAGTAGCTGGGACTACAGGCATGCGCCACCATGCCCAGGTAATTTTTGTATTTTTTAGTAGAGACAGGGTTTCACCATGTTGGCCAGGATAGTCTTGATCTCTTGACCTTGTGATCCACCCGCCTCAGCCTCCCAAAGTGCTGGGATTACAGGCATGAGCCACCAAGTCCAGCCCTGAAAATTTTATATGATTATACAAAACTTACTTCAGCTAATTGTGCTTCATTACCTCATGAGGAGTACTGGGAAGTTTTGAGTACGTGCAATGGATGGAAACATTGAATTTGGACATAAAGAGTTGTGTCCTTTTTTTTTGTTGTTGGAGACAGAGTCTCGCTCTGTCACCTAGGCTGGAATGCAGTGGCGCGATCTCAACTCACTGCAACCTTCACTTCCCAAGTTCAAGTGATTCTGATTCTCCTGCCTCAGCTTCCCGAGTAACTGGGATTACAGGTGCCCGCCACCACCCCTGGCTAATTTTGGAATTTTTAGTAGAGATGGGGTTTCACCACGTTGGCCAGGCTGTTCTTGAACTCCTCACCTCAGGTGATTCGCCCACCTTGGCCTCTCAAAGTGCTGGGATTACAAGCGTGAGCCACCGTGGCTGATGAGTTGTGTCATTTTTCACTAGTTTTTCAGTTGGTTACCTGAAAGTATGAATTTTTAAAGCATAATAGGATTCAGCAGTCTCAGGTAGGAAAAAAGTAACCTGGAAAGATCCCTGCATGTGAATGCACACACAGCTTTCAGGGTTCTGAAGAAATCCAGCATGTGTAGGATGTAGAGGAGATACATGGTAGGAGGTGAAGCAATATGTAACGGTTGGTTGTGTAATATAGGCCCAGCCGAGAACTCTAACCTTTTTCCTAAAGACGACGACAAGCCCATTGTGAGATCTAACCAGATGTACAATAGTAGTCATTCCACTTATAAATGTTTGTAGTAAATGTGTAAAGAAATACATTATATATTTGATAAAATCATTTTACAATTTTTAATTTTAATTTATTTTATTTTATTGGTATTAATTTGTCCTAAAGGATCATTTTTATTGTGAAATGTAAAATTTGACCTAGTATATATAAAATGTATATGTGTACATTTAACAATGTGCATATATGTACCTTAAAATAATATAAACTTTCTGGGCGACAGAGTGAGGCCCTGTTTAAAATAATGATCATAATTTGATATTTTATGCATTAAAAACTTTTGGCTGGGCAAGGTGACTCACGCTTGTAATCTCAGCAGTTTGGGAGGCTGAGGCAAGAAGATTGCATGGCCCTAGGGGTTTGAGACTAGCCTGGGCCCTATGGGGAGACCCCATTCCTACAATAATTTTTTTTAATTAGCCGGGTGTGGTGGTGTGCTTGTAGTCCCAGCTACTCAAGAGGCTGAGGCCGGAGGATCACTTGACCCCAGGAGGTTGAGGCTGCAATGAGCTATGATTGTTCCGCTGTACACCAGCCTGGACAACAATGAGACCCTGTCTCAAAAAAAAAAAATTAAATATTTTGATTATACAAGGAAAATGAACATTCATGTATTAAAGCTCCATGTTTTATGAACAAAACTGACTTTGCAGGCAGGAGAGCGTTTTCTGGGGGCACCAGAAGCAGGGAACTTTCCTTGTCCATTGGATTCAGGGCTGCCCACTATCCCTCCACTATCTTCCCGTCATAGCCCTGTCTGGCGTCTTTTGTCCCTGACAAAACCTACAAAAAGTGACTTTAACACTTCAGGCTGCATGCATTTGAAGAGCAATAAGATAACATTTTTTCACTTCCAGCTACCAGTGGACATCTGCTGGGGTGGGCTGCATGGAATCTGAAATGATGTCTAAATACTGAAGTGATCCTCTACACTAGAGACTGATATACAGCTGACACCGACCCCCGCGGAATTAAAAATCCTCGTATTACTTTTGACTCCCCTAGACCTTAACTACTAATAGCCGACTGTTGCCCGGAAGCCTTATGAAGTTGCCCAGAAGCCTTATGAATTACATAAACTCCCAATCGATTAACATTTTGTATGATATATGCATGATATATGCATAACACATATATATATGATTACACATTTTGTATGATATATGCATTATATATATTTTAGTGTAAGAACTATACTTATACTAAAACAGACTAGAGAAAGGGTATCAGGAAAATTGTAAGAGGCTCGTTGACATTTCACCCAATAAAAAAAGGAAAATAAAAGAATATGGAACGGGAAATACATTTACTAATCATTAAGTGGAAGTGTATCATCATAAAGGTCTTCATCCTTGTGTTCTTCACAATAGGCAAGAGAATGAGGAGGGGCTGATCTTGTCTCTGGGGCAAGAGGTGGGGGAGCTAAAGGAGCACACTCGAAGTAACGTTTATTGGGAGAAAAAAAAAAAAGCCTACGTGTAAATGGACCCGCACAGCTGAAACCTGTGTTGTTCAAGTGTCAGCCTACTTAAGACCTCAAACACCGAAGCCCCTCAGTCGCCCTGGAGGGCGGCAGACTCAGTTTCCTAGCGCTCCCAGCAGTCTGCACACAAGGCGCCGTCTGCCGCAGCCTTGGGGAGACTACATTTCCCAGGAAGCTTTGCGTCGAGCGGCAGTACTTTGATCCAATGAAAATCCAAGACAGGGGCATTTCCGTGTGGGCGTGCCCCTCGGGGCGGGACTTCTGGCGTGTTCGCAGCGGTCATTTTGGCTGCCCTCAGGTCCGTTCTATCCGTCAGCCTCCTTGGTGTGCCTCTTCGGCATCGAAGTGACGGACCGTGAAGGCGCGAGAGTCAGGTCTGAGGGTCGGGGGCAGAGCCGCCCGCGAGGCCTGCCTGGGGATAGCGGTGCTCGTGTTCCCCCCCGGTAGCCCGCAGCTCCCGGTCCAGCTCCGCCCACAGACTCGGATGGCGACCGCACTGAGGGATCCGGCTCCGGTGAGCACTGCAATCTCCGGACCTCCCCCGGCCGCGATTCTTAAGTCCCAAGTGAGGGGCACCAGCTCGCGTTTCTGTAGCACAGGGTCGGGGACACTGAGGCTCGTGGGTGGGGCCCCTGTTTCTGACATCCGATGTGGTGGGCAGGGGGACAAGGGACAGGACCGGCGCTTGCAGAGCTTGGATGGGCGACCGAGAAGGAGGCATTCAGGAACCTGGGCTCCACATTGTTACTGCAGAGAACAAAGTTTGAGAGAGATCTACCTTTATTCTTAGGGCCGTGGGAGCCATAGAGAGCTTAAACGAGAGACACCATCTGAGTTAGGATTTGAAAAATCCTCTGCAGGCTGTTCAGTGGAAGAAAAGACTTTAGAGATGGATGAGGACGTTGAGGCAGAGGGAGGTTGAATATTTTTCCAAGGCCACACAACTGGTGAGAGGCAGCACTAAGGACTGAGGCGCACAGGTTAGACAGTCGACCCAAAGTTACGTGGCTCTCGGCCGAGGCAAGGGTACAGGGAAGGTCTGTGCCCATGGAGCACTCCCATGATCACATTCCTCTGAGGCCTGCGTCTTTACACAGGTTCCCATAGCTACAGAGGTACTTTTCAAGCTTACACAGGTAAGTGGAGGTATCTCAGCCCCTCACTGGTCTGGAATGTCCCTCCTCCCTCCCCACACAGATATTTTCTTTAGATTTGTGGTGTAACGGGACTCACCTACCATTCTCTCAGCTGTTGGTTTGGGGACCCTAGAGAATCCCTGAGTTCAGGGTGCTGAGTCCAGGTCAATGTTTCCATTTGGAGCAGCCAATGTAAAGGGGTGAAAGTTTATGATAGTACCAGCTTTTGGAACTCCTTGGAGGTGAGACTGAACTGGTTCAGGGAACTGCAGGTTTCCTTCACTTCTGTGAAGTTTGGCATCTATTGTGAGGAAGTTGGAGTTTGGGATAAGAGGAGGGAGATTTCTCTAACCCAAGTGTTGACAGGATACAGAGTAGAAAACAGAATGAAAACAGTGACTAATGGGAATGTGAAGAGACAGCAGGGATCAATGACACCAAGGTCTGGTGTCTCTTCTGACTTAGGGAGCTTGGGAGGAGAATGTATGAGGACATGGATTTTGAGTCTTCCAAAGTGAGACTGTTCATGGTTTCATCAATCCCTATTATGCTAGGGAAGTGTGACTTTTGAAGATGTGGCCGTGTACTTCTCCTGGGAGGAATGGGATCTCCTTGATGAGGCTCAGAAACACCTGTACTTCGATGTGATGCTGGAGAACTTTGCACTTACGTCCTCCCTGGGTAAGGCCCTCATACTCACCCTTGTGCCCTGTACCAGGCTCTGTGTTTCTCCTTTTCCTCAGGAGCAGCTCTGTCCTCATATCTGGACCATAGGCACTGCCTCCTTCCCCAGTTCCCTGGGTAGATGTTGTGGACTGAGTGCAAGCCTACTTCCCTTATCATCCCAGCCTAAAAGCACCTTGGGTAAAGATTTGGGATCAATCCTTACCCACATCTTACAGTAAGCCTAATAGATCCCACCTGACTTGCCTTCTCCCTGTCTGGTAACTTTCTAGATCTACGGCATCCAGTTTCCCCTCCCTTCATGTACCCGACATTTATTTGTGCTTGACTGTGACATGAAATGCAGTCACTGACATTGTCACTATTTACACAAACTGTTCTTGAACCACCAACCTTTCCATTAACAGCAGAACACTCTAACGAATTGCACCACAGAGACACTACACAGACTGTTCTTATAAAAACCTCCTCCAAGGTATTCTTCTTTGTTTGTTTTTAATTGTAAAATATATATAACAAACTTTACTATTTTAATCATTTTTTTTTTTTTGAGGCGGAGTTTCGCTCTTGTTGCCCAGACTGGAGTGCAATGGCACGATGTCGGCTCACCGCAACTTCCGCCTCCCAGGTTCAAGCAATTCTCCTGCCTCAGCCTCCCTAGTAGCTGGGATTATAGGCATGTGCCACCAGGCCCAGCTAATTTTGTATTTTTAGTAGAGACGGGGTTTCTCCATGTTGGTCAGGCTGGTCTCGAACTCCCGACCTCAGGCGATCCACCCGCCTCAGCCTCCCAAAGTGCTGGGATTACAGGCGTGAGCCACCGCGCCCGGCTTATTTTAATCATTTTCAAGTATATAGTTCAGCAGCATTTAGTACATTCACATTGTTGTACAACTATCACCACCATCCTTCTGTACTACTTTTTCATCTTATAAAACTGAAACTTTGTACTCATTAAGCAATAACTCTTCCCATCCCCTGGCAACCACCATTTTGCTTTTGGTCTGTATGAATTTGTCTACCGTAAGTACCTCATATGAGTGGGATCACACAATATTTGTTCTTTTCTGTCTGGCTTACTTCACTTAGCATAATATCTTCAAGGTTCATCCATGTTGTAATGTGTATCAGAATTGCTTCTTTTTAAGGCTGAATAATATTCTTTTGTATGTATTAGTTTATCCATTCCTTCATCAGTGGACACAGGTTGTTTTCACCTTCTGGCTGTTGTGAATAATATTACTGTGAACATGGGTGTTCAGATACATATTTGTGTTCTTGCTTTCAATTCTTTTGGGTATTGGCCCAAAAGCAGAATTTCTGGATCATAAGGTAATTATTTTTAATTTTTAAGGAACCACCAGAATTGTTTTTCATAGCAGCTGCACCGTTTTACATTCCCACAAGCAGCAGACAAAGGTTCTAGTTTCTTCACACCCTCACCATCACTTGTTATTTTCTGATTTTTTTTGATAAGTCATCCAAATTGGTGTGAGGTGATATCTCATTGTGGTTGTGATTTGCAGATTACTGATATTGAGCGTCTGTTCATGTGCTGATTGGCTATTTGTATATCTTCAAATGATGTTTTTATTCAAGTCCTTTGCCTATTTTTAAATTGAGTTTTATTAATTGTAATTAGAAGTGTTAAATATAATTTTTTATTGAGCTTTAAGAGTTATCTGTGTTCTAGATATTCCCTTATCTGATACGTGATTTGCAAATGTTTTCTCTTATTTTGTGGGTTACATTTTTAGTGTGTTGATAGGATCCTTTGATGTACAAGTTTCTCATTTTGATGAATTCCGTTTTACTGTTTTACTTTTATTGTCTATGCTTTTTATATCATATCCAAGGAATCATTAACAAGTCCAGTGTCATGAAGCTTTTTCCTTGTTTTAAGAGTTTTACAGTTTTAGTGCTTACATTCAGCTCTTTGATCTGTTTTGAATTAATTTTTATATGTGGTGTCAGGTAAGGGACCAACTTCATTCTTTCACATGTAGATACCCAGTTTTCCTAGCATCATGTGTTGAAAATTTGTCTTCTTTCTCCTGGTCAAAAATCATTTGGCCAGATATTTGAGGGTTTATTTCTGGGGTCTCTTCTAGTCCATTGATCTATATGTCTTTCTTTATGGGAGTACCACAGTTTTAATTTCTCTAGCCTTGCAGTAAGTTTTGAAATTACAAACTGTGAGTCTTCCAACTTTCATCCTTTTCAAAATTGTTTTAGCTATTCTGTGTCTCTTAATATTTCAAATGAATTTTAGGATGGATTTTTTTATTTCTGCAAAGTAACATCATTTGGAATTTGATAGGTATTGCACTTTTTTTTTTTTATTTTTTTTTTTTTTTTGAGACGGAGTCTTGCTCCGTCGCCCAGGCTGGAGTGCAGTGGCCGGATCTCAGCTCACTGCAAGCTCCGCCTCCCGGGTTTATGCCATTCTCCTGCCTCAGCCTCCCTAGTAGCTGGGACTACAGGCACCCGCCACCTCGCCCAGCTAGTTTTTTTTTGTATTGTTAGTAGAGACGGGGTTTCACTGTGTTAGCCAGGATGGTCTCGATCTCCTGACCTCGTGATCTGCCTGTCTCGGCCTCCCAAAGTGCTGGGATTACAGGCTTGAGCCACCGCGCCCGGCCGATAGGTATCACACTTTCTATAGATTACTTTGTCTAGTATAGACGTCTTAACAATATTGAGCCCTCTAGTCCATGAACAGGCATGTGATATATTTTCTTTTATTAATGTTTTATTTAATTCATTTTAGCAATATTTTGTAGTTTCTAGTGTACAAGGCTTTTACTTGTTTGGTTAAGTTAATCTTTAATGTTTTATTCTTTTTGATATAAGTGGAATTGTTTACTTTTCAAATTGTTCATCATTAGTGTATAGAAGCGTAACTGATTTTTGCATGTTGTATTTGTATTCTTCTATTTGCTGAATTTGCTTATTAGTTGTAACAGTTTTTTCGTGGAATCTTTATGGTATTCCATGTGTATTATCTGTGAGTAGGGATAATTTTACTCCTCTTTTCCCATTTTGGTCCCTTTTCTTTCTTTTTCTTGCCTAATTGCTACATTGAACAGAAGTGCTAAAAGTAGGCATCCTTATCTTGTTGTTAATCTTAGAGGAAAATCTTTCAGTCTTTCATTGTCGAGTATAATTTTAGCTGTGGGTTTTATTTTTGTTTTTGGTTTTTTTGCATATGTATTTTATTATGTTTAGTTAATTTCCCCCTATTCCTGGTTTACTGAGTGTTTTCCTCACGAAGAAGTGTTGCATATTGTCTAATGCTTTTAGTGCATCAGCTGAGATTATTGTTTTAATTTTTTTAGAGATAGGGTCTTGCTATGTTACACAGGCTGGTCTTAAGCTCCTGGCCTCAAGCGATCCTCCTGCCTCAGCCTCCCAAGTAGCTGGGATTACAGGTGCAAGCCATCACTTTGATCAGTTTTTGTTTGTTGAACCATCCTTGCATTCCAGGAATAAATTCTATCTGGTGGTAGTGCATAATCCTTTTAATATGCTGTTGAATTCAGTTTGCTAATATTTGGTTGATGGTTTTTGCATTAATAATCAAGGATATTGGTCTGTAGTTATGTTTTCTTACACAATCTTTGTGTCATTTGGATTGGAATCAGGGTAATGCTGGCCATGTAGAATGAATTTAGAAGTGTGTACGCTACAGTTTTTTGAGAGAATTTGAAAATGATAAGTATTAGTTCTTCATTAAATGATTGTCTTTTTTTTTTTTTTTCCTTTTTGTGGAGAGCGGGATCTCGCTATATTACCCAGGCAGGTCTCGAACTCCTGGGCCCAAGCTATCCTCCTGCCTCTGCCTCCCTGAGAGCTGGGATTACAGGCATGAGCCACCGCGCCCGGCCAATTAAATGATTGGTAGAATTCATCTGTGAAGCCATCAAGTCAAGGGCTTTTCTTTAAGGTTTGTCTTTTTTTTTTTTTTTTTTGAGATGGAGTCTTGCTCTGACACCCAGGCTAGAGTGCAGTGGTGTGATCTTGGCTCACTGCAACCTCCACTTCCTGGATTCAAGCAGTTCTCCTGCCTTGACCTCCCGAGTAGCTGGGGTTACAGGAACATGCCATCATACCTGGCTAATTTTTGTATTTTTAATAGAGACAGGGTTTCACCACGTTGGCCAGGCTGGTCTTGAACTCCTGACCTCAGGTGATCCACCCGCTGCCTCGGCCTCCCAAAGTGCTGGAATTACAGGCATGAGCCACTGCACCTGGCCAGGTTTGTCAATTTTGATAACCTTTTCAAAGAAACACCTTTTGGTTTTGTTGATTTTTTTTTTTCTATTGTTTTTCTCTTCTGTATTTTATTTATCTAGGCTTTAGTCTTTATTATTTTTTTCCTGCCAGCTTTGGTTTTAGTTTGTTCCTCTTTTTATAATCCCTTAAGTTGTAAAAATAGATTGTTGAGTTGAGATCTTTCATCTTTTTAAGGTTTATAGCTATAAATTTCCCCTTTAGTACTGCTTTTACTGTATCTCCAATTTATTTCCCTTCTGATTTCTTCATGGCCCCACTGGTTGTTCAGTATTGTATTAATTTCTACAGATTTGTAAATTTTTTAGTTTCCTTCTATTAAGAGTTCCCAACCTCATCCCACTGTGGTTGGAGAAGATACTTTGTATGATGTGTGTCTTTCTAAATCAAATGAGGCTTAATTTATGGTCTGTCCTGGAGAATGTTCTAGGTACACATGAAGGGAATGTGTATTCTGTTGTTGTTGGGTAGAATACTCTTTATATATTTGTTAGAGCTAGTTGGTTGTTTAGGTCCTCTGTTTTCTCACTTCTCTCTGATTCTTCTGTCCACTGCTGAGAGTCAGGTATCGATGTATTTAACTGTTATTGTAGAACCATCCATTTCTCCCTTCAGTTCCGTCCATTTTTGCCTCATGTGTTTTGGTGGTCTATTATTAGGTGCATAAGTGTTTATAAATGTTATTTCCTCTTGCTCTATTGACCTTTTTTATTAGTATATAATATCCTTTTATATCTCTTGTTACCCTTTTTGATTTAAAGTCTGTATTGTATGATATTAGTGTAGCCATTCTTACTCTTTTTTGCTTGCTATTTGCATGGAATATCTTTTTGTAGCCTGTCACTTCCACCTTATTTATATCTTTGGATCTAAAGCGAATCTCTTGTAGACATCATAAAGTTGGATCATGGGTTGTTTTCATTTTAACCCATTCTGCCAATCTTTGTCTTTTGGCAGAGTTTAAGCTAAAAGTTTGGAGAGTTTAAGGCATTTATGTTTAAGGTAATCACTGATAAGGACGGGTTGACTTCTATCATTTTGCTCCTTGTTTTCCCCATGTCTTATAGCCTTATAGCTTTTTTGATCCTAATTGCCTACATTACTGCTTCTTTTGTGTTCGGCTCACTTTTTTTTTTTTTTTTTTTGTACTGAAACTTTTTAATTCCTTGTCATTTCCTTTGTGTACTCTTTCTTTCCTTCCTTCCTTCCTTCCTTCCTTCCTTCCTTCCTTCCTTTCTTTTCTTTCCTCTTTCTGTTAATGGAGTCTCACTCTGTCGCCCAGGCTGGAGTGCAGTGGGGCGATCTTGGCTCACTGCAACCTCTGCCTCCCATGTTCAAGCGATTCTCCTGCCTCAGCCTCCTGAGTAATCCCTCCTGGGATTACAAACACACACCACCACACCCAGCTAATTTTTGTATTTTTAGTAGAGACAGGGTTTCACCATGTTGGCCATGCTGGTCCCAAACTCCTGACCTCAGTTGATCCAGCAACCTCAGCCTCCCAAAGTGCTGGGATTATAGGCGTGAGCCACCATGCCCAGTTCTTTGTATACTTTATGTAGCTCTTTTTTTTAAATAGTTACCATGGGAATTACATTTAGCATCCTAAAGTTACAACACTAACTTGAATTTATACAAACTTAACTTCTTTAACTTTCCTTGTTCTTTTTTGTGCCCAGTTCTTCTGGGCCAGTGTTAGTTGCTCACGTGTCCTGTCTTTCCCTTAGGACTTACATCATCCTGGTCTCATGTAGTTGCTCAACTAGGACTAGGGGAAGTGTCCTCTGTTCTTCACAGGATGTTCATGACTCCAGCCTCAGCAAGATGGGATCAGAGAGGGCCTGGCCTACATGAATGGCACTTGGGAAAAGGCATGTCATCAGGTCTGTGTTTAAATTGCACCAGGAACCTGTCCTGTTTGACTTGTCTTGATGCCTTTGCCCGAGACACTTCACTTTGACCTTCCCCTCTTCATTCTTAACAGTTTACAAACTTGTTATTTCTCCTACTTGTCATTTTTATTTTGACTTCTAGCTAATGCTAATCCTCACCTCTCCGGACTCCTTATTCCATCTGTTCTTTACACTGTTCCCTCTGTAGCATTCTGTAATATTATTTTGTCCTGAAGTGTGCATATCTCCCTTACTAGTCCCTGAACACCAGTTACTGTTCCAGTGAGGTTTTCCTCGGCCTGGACATACACTTCACGGCATCACTTGTCACCAGCAGATATGATCCCGCTAAAAGCTATTATCAGAGGAATTAATTGTAGAACATGCCTCTTAGTCCTGGGCCATACCTTAGCCTTGTATACTGTACCTGGGAGGGCCCACCCTCCCTATTCCATAACCTTAGGGACCAGTAATGCACAACAGGTGCTTCCTGAACCTGACCCCCAACTCACTTTTCCTGAAGACAGGCCCATATACTGGTTCTTTGCTATAACTGATGTGCATTTGCGATTGCATTGCCTCCTCCTAATAAAGGTAACATGTACTTCACCACGACCTCTTTACTTTTAGGTTGTTGGCATGGAGTGGAGCATGAGGAAACACCTTCTGAGCAGAGAATTTCTGTAGAAGGAGTGCCACAGTTCAGGACTTCCAAAGAAGGTTCATCTTCCCAGCATGCCTACTCCTGTGAAATATGTGGCCTGGTCTTGAGAGATATTTTGCACTTGGCTGAACACCAAGGAACAAACTGTGGGCAGAAACTACACACATATGGAAAACAATTCTACATCAATGCAAATCTTCAACAGCACCAGAGGCAGCACATTAAAGAGGCACCTTTCACAAGTTACGTGGACACAACCTCATTTACAAAGAGCTGCACAGTCCACGTGTCGGAGAAGCCCTTCACCTGTAGGGAGATCAGGAAAGACTTCCTGGCCAACATGAGGTTTCTCCATCAAGAGGCCACTCAAACAGGGGAGAAGCCAAATAACAGTAACAAGTGTGTGGTGGCCTTTTACAGTGGAAAAAGTCATCGCAACTGGGGAAAATACAGTAAAGCCTTTAGCCACACAGACACACTTGTTCAGGACCAGAGAATCCTCACTAGAGAAGGGCTTTTTGAGTGCAGCAAATGTGGGAAAGCATGTACGCGAAGATGTAACCTCATTCAGCACCAGAAAGTCCACAGTGAAGAAAGGCCTTATGAATGCAACGAATGTGGAAAATTCTTTACCTACTACTCCAGTTTCATTATACATCAAAGAGTTCATACTGGAGAAAGGCCTTATGTGTGCCCTGAATGTGGGAAATCCTTTAGTCAGATCTACAGCCTCAATAGCCATAGGAAAGTTCACACTGGAGAAAGGCCTTATGAATGCAGCGAATGTGGGAAATCTTTTAGCCAAAGGTCCAACCTCATGCAGCATCGCAGAGTTCACACTGGAGAAAGACCTTATGAATGCAGTGAATGTGGGAAATCTTTTAGCCAAAACTTCAGCCTCATTTACCACCAGAGAGTTCACACTGGAGAAAGACCTCATGAATGCAGTGAATGTGGAAAATCCTTTAGCCGAAGCTCCAGCCTCATTCACCACCGGAGACTTCACACAGGAGAAAGACCCTATGAGTGCAGTAAATGTGGGAAATCGTTTAAGCAAAGCTCCAGCTTCAGTTCACATCGGAAAGTCCACACAGGGGAAAGGCCTTATGTGTGTGGGGAATGTGGGAAATCCTTTAGCCATAGCTCCAACCTTAAGAACCACCAGAGAGTTCACACTGGAGAAAGGCCTGTTGAGTGCAGTGAATGTAGCAAATCCTTTAGCTGTAAATCTAACCTCATTAAACACCTGAGAGTTCACACTGGAGAAAGGCCTTATGAGTGCAGTGAATGTGGGAAATCCTTTAGCCAAAGTTCTAGCCTCATTCAACACCGGAGAGTTCACACTGGAAAAAGGCCTTATCAGTGCAGTGAATGTGGGAAATCCTTTGGCTGCAAATCTGTCCTCATTCAACACCAGAGAGTTCACATTGGAGAAAAGCCTCAACTGTACTGAGAATATGCAAGTTCCTTTTAGTGTAATTATACTGAAGGAGTACACCGGTGAGAGAGACAAGTACCTGAACTGGAAGCCCCAACATCTAAGGATATATATACAGTGGGCAGATTCCCCTTAAGTTCCAGGTATGTGTTACACTTTCTAACCTGCCATTTAGAAAGTGTTAGACTTTCTCACCTGCCATATATGGCTCTTGCCATTTATGTCACTGACAGTTTCTGAGGCAGAAGCCATATCACATCTACCACCTGTGAGGTCCACATAATGTGCATCATTTACCTCCTGAACCTGCTGAAGGAAGCAGACCTCTGTTTCTCCCTATTTGCTAGAAGAAATCATGAATAGTCTTGAGTCTTCCTCTCTGACAAGTTAGGGCATGGACTTGACCCAGCTTTGTGCCAGAGAACCCAATATGAGTGTTGTTGGCAGCTTGCCAAGAAGGACTCTTCTTTCAAGACATGTTGGTTTCATGTGACACCTCCATGGATTTTTTCCAGCCTCTAAGTCACCAACTTTGGAACTGCCTGCCTCACATTGCTTTGTTTTTTACAATAATAAAGGTATTATTATTTAAGCTACCTTTATCTTGGCATTTGATTTACTCTTTAAGGTGGTTCAAAAACAGAATTGGGCCCTGCCAGCTTTACAGAGTAAACACCTTTGGAGGGAGAGGGAGGTGTCATATTATTTGTATGCCTCAGAGACAACAGTATAATGGAAAAATACAACTGTCTTTCCAGTTTTGGCATAATCTGAATTTGAATTATTGCCCATACAAAAAATTAGCTGGGTGTGGTGGTGGGCCCCTGTAGTCCCAGCTACTCAGGAGGCTGAGGCAGGAGAATGGCGTGAACCTCGGAGACAGAGCTTGCAGTGAGCTGAGATTGTGCCGCTGCACTCCAGCCTGGGTGACAGAGTGAGACTCCGTCTCAAAAAAAAAAAAAAAACCAACCTGGGCATGGTGGCGTGCACTTGTAGTCCCAGCCACACAGGAGGCTGAGGCAGGAGAATCACTTGAACTCGGGAGGTGCAGGTTACAGTGAGCCGAGATCGCCCCATGGTATTCCAGCCTGGGTGACAGAGAGAGACTCTTGTCTCAAAAAAAAAAAATACATAGAACTACACGCACACAACGAGTGTATAAAATGGTGAGGTCTGAAAGAGGTCTGAGGATTGAACCAATGTCGCATTCCTGGTTTTGATGATGTTCTAAGGTTATATAAGATGTTACTACTGGGGAAAGTAGGTGAAAGGTATTCTGCACTATTGATATGGTGTGGATATCTGTCCTGCCCAAACCTCATGTTGAAATGTAATCTCCAATGTTGGAGGTGGGGCCTGGCAGGAGGTGATTGGCTCATGAGGGTGGTTTCCCCTGAATGGTTTAGCACCATCCTTTTGGTGCTGTCCTCACGATAGTGAGTTCTCATGAGATCTGGTTGTTTGAAAGTATGTGGCACCTCCAACTTTGCTCTTGCTCCTGACCCTACTCTTACATTTGCAACGTCCTGCATATCTGTATTTCAAACTAAATTCTTAAAAATTTTCACTGTTCTGTATATTTCCACAGTGTGTATAGTTCACTGTTCTGTATATTTCCACATCAGAATGTGTAATTTTCAGCCAGATGTGGTGGTTCACTCTTGTAATCCCAGCACTTTGGGAGGCCAAGGTGGGTGGATCACCTGAGGTCAGTAGTTCGAGATCAGCCTGACCAACATGGTAAAACCCCCTCTCTACTAAAAATACAAACAGTAGCTGGGTGTGGTGGTGGGTGCCTGTAATTCCAGCTACTCAGGAGGGTTAGGTTACTTACTCACCACTATACTAATGAGGATGAAGCCTCTTTTTTTTTTTTTTTTTTTTTTTTTGAGACCAAATTTTTGCTCTTGTTGCCCGGGCTGCAATGGTACGATCTCGGCTCACTGCAGCCTCCTCCTCCTGGTTCAAGTGATTCTCCTGCCTCAGCCTCTCGTGTAACTGGGACTACAGGCTTGAGCCACCATGCCTGGCTAATTTTTGTGTTTTTAGTAGAGATGGGTTTCACCATGTTGGCCAAGCAGGTCTTGAACTACTGATCTCAAGTGATCCACCCACCTTGGCCTCCCAAAGTGTTGAGATTACAGGCGTGAGCCGCTGCACCCAGCCTAAGATTATTCTTTACTTTGTTGTTGTTGTTGTTGTTGTTGTTGTTTTTAACAAGGTCTCATTTGTCACCCAGGCTGGAGTGCAGTAGCATGATCTCAGCTCACTGCAGCCTCAACCTCCTGGGTTCAAGAGATCCTCCTGCCTTAGCCCCTTTTCTGCTCTCCACCCTCACCCCCAATAGCTGGAACTACGGGTGTACCACCACTCCCAGCTAATTTTTGTACTTTTTGTAGAGACTGGGTTTCATCATGTTTCCCAGGCTGGTCTCCAAATCCAGAACTCAAGTGATCTGCCGGCCTCAGCCTCCCAAATTGCTGGGATTACAGGCGTGAGCCACCGGGCATTGTTATTCTTCACTTTGAATCCCATATGTTATTTAAAGCTAAGGCCTGAGGCAAAAGAAAATTCACTTCTATACTTCAACTAATTCTATTTTATTACTAGGTAATAGGTCCCAATATTTACATTTATGTATACATACACACACACTTTTTTTCTATACCATTAAGATAATGGTAGACCTTTATGTCAAGAAAATGCTATAGGCCGGGCACACTTACTTTGGGAGGCCGAGGCAGGAGGATCACTTGAGTCCAGGAGTTCGAGGCCAGCCTGGACAAGGTGGTGAAACCCTGTCTCTAAAAAAAAAAAAAAAAATTAGCTGGGTGTGGTATCATGAGCCTGTAATCCCAGCTACTTCCAGCTACTCAGGAGGCTGAGGTGGGAGGATCTCTTGAGCCCAGGAGGCAAAGGTTACAGTGAGCTCAGATCCCACCACTGTACTGCAGCCTGGGTGACAGAGTGAGAACCTGTCTCAAAACAACAACAACAACAACAACAACAAAAAAAAACAGCTGTTGGTAGTTGAATTTATCTTTATTGAACAAATCCTCTTTATTGCATGTTTTAAATTTTATTAATTTGTTTACATTTTATTGACTTGTAATAAAACGATTTTGAAATTACTAGAGAAGGCCAGGCACTGTGGCTCACGCCTCTAATCCTACCAGTGTGGGAGGCAGAGGCGGGCGGATCACCTGACATCAAGAGTTCGAGACCAGCCTGACCAACATGGTGAAACCCCGTCTCTACTAAAAATACCAAAAAACAATTAGCCGGGCGTGGTGAAGGCACCTGTAGTCCCAGCTACTCAGGAGGCTGAGGCAGGACAATGGATTGAACCTGGGAGGTGGAGGTTGCAGTGAGCCGAGATCGTGCCATTGCTCTCCAGCCTGGGCGACAGAGACTCTGTCAAAAAAGAAAAAGAAAAGAAAAAAAGAAAAGAAGAGAAGAAAGGAAAAGAAAGAGGAAGGAAGGAAGGAAGGGACGGAGGGAGGGAGGGAGGGAAGGGAGGGAGGGAGGGAGGGAAGGAAGGGAGGGAGGGAGGGAAGGAAGGGAGGGAGGGAGGGAAGGAAGGGAGGGAGGGAGGGAGGAAGAGAGGGAGGGAGGGAGGGAAGGAAGGAAAATAAATTCCTGGATAGATGAAAGTGAGGGATCGGGGTCGGGACCCCCAGGGCGCTGCTGGCGGCGGGCGAGGAGCTGGGCGCGGGGCGGCGGTTCCAGGCTTCTGGGGCCCAGCGCCGCACCCGTCAGGGAATCCTCGGTGTTGCCGCCCGCGGCACCCAGCGGCGGGGGAGGAGTCGGCGCAGTCGTGCGGCCGCGGAGGACGGCGAGACCCGGGGCTGCGGCTGCCGCCGAGGGGCGCCCGGGACAGTGAGAAGCGGCGGCGGGAGCCGGTCACCGGCAGGGCGCGCTCGGCGGTGGAGACGGCTTCATCCGATCCAGGGCTGGCAGGCGGCCCGGATGGCACGCCGTCTCCCGCCGGGAATTCCAGTTTCCCCCTAAATCGCTCAACAAGCGAGAAGGTTTTGGGATTCGAATTCAGTGGGACAAGCGAAGTCGCCTTTCCTTCGTAAACAGATGGAATCCCTGGTCCACAAACGTGCCCTGGGCCCGTTTCGTACGACACGCGATGGCTGGTGCGGATGAGAACACAGCAGCTCTGTGCCAGATGGAAAGCTTCAAGGCTCTGTGAATCCAAGGTCAAAAACGCCAAAACGGAAAGTCCTTTGCCAGGACAAGCGCACGCGTGCTGGTCGTGGAGCGCCCCCTCCTCGTGGAGACCTGCGTGGAATTGATGTCCTTCATTAACAGTGAGGCTAAGCTGGGCTATTCCATGACTGACCAGGGGCAAAATTGGCTTTTAGCCGCATTCTGGGAGCTAACCCCACTAAGAAGGCCAAGTGATGTGGGGTCTGAGAGCCTGGCAGTCCTGCAAAGCCGCTGATGGCTGGAAGCATAGGGGTCTTTTACCTTTTGGGGTGTCTGCACGATTAGAAAAGTAAAGTGGATAGTAACTGGATATTGCACTCTGCTAATGCAAGCTACAGACAAAAGCAAAAGGAATCTAGCTGCCACTGTGCTACTGGGATTCCATTTTCTGTAACTTCAGTTCTGATGTTTTTCCTGGAGTGTATCTACTTGGCTTCCAGCGGTTCTTCCCACCCCAGCCACTCCAGCATGCTAACACCCCGCAGCACACCCCTTACCATTTGTGTAGGCTGCTAAATACAGGGAGGCAGCTGGTATCTCCAGTGTCTGTAGTCACAAAGATGTTTACACTTGGTGTCAATTTTTGTATTTTACATTTTAATACTTTTTTTTTTTTTGAGACGGAGTCTCGCTCTGTCGCCCAGGCTGGAGTGCAGTGGCGCGATCTCGGCTCACTGCAAGCTCCGCCTCCCGGGTTCACGCCATTCTCCCGCCTCAGCCTCCCGAGTAGCTGGGACTACAGGCGCCCGCCACCACGCCCGGCTAATTTTTTGTATTTTTAGTAGAGACGGGGTTTCACCGTGTTAGCCAGGATGGTCTCGATCTCCTGACCTCGTGATCCACCCGCCTCGGCCTCCCAAAGTGCTGGGATTACAGGCTTGAGCCACCGCGCCTGGCCTACTTTTTTCTTTTTAAGCTCATACAACACAAGTTCACTGACATCAGTCTGCACCTGTCAGCTCCTGGGTGAATCATTGCTCTTTTGTAAATGTGTGTTTAACCTAAAGCCACCCTTTTTCTAAAATTAATCCAAGGCCGGGCGCGGTGGCTCACGTCTGTAATCCTAGCACTTTGGGAGGCTGAGGCGGGTGGATCATGAGGTCAGAATTTCCAGACCAGCCTGATCAAAATGGAGAAACCCCATCTCTACTAAAAATACAAAATAAGCTGGGCGTGATGGCGCACGCCAGTAATCCCAGCTACTCCGGAGGCTGAGGCAGGAGAACTGCTTGAACCCGGGAGGTGGAGGTTGTGGTGAGCGAAGATCGCACCACTGCACTCCAGCCTGGGCGACAGAGCAAGACTTGTCTTAGAAAAAAAAGAAAGTAACAGTTTTGTTTATTTTCCTACCAGGTTTTTTTGTTGTTGTTGTTTTGTTT